TGGTGTGTTTCTGAGATGGATGACCTGTGTGGTGTGTTTCTGAGATGGGTTGCCTGTGTGGTGTGTTTCTGAGATGGGTTGCCTGTGTGGTGTGTTTCTGAGGTGGGTGACCTGTGTGGTGTGTTTCTGAGGTGGGTGACCTGTGTGGTGAGTTTCTGAGATGGATGACCTGTGTGATGTGTTTCTGAGATGGATGACCTGTGTGGTGAGTTTCTGAGATGGATGGCCTGTGTGGTGAGTTTCTGAGATGGATGGCCTGTGTGGTGAGTTTCTGAGATGGGTGACCTGTGTGGTGTGTTTCTGAGATGGATGACCTGTGTGATGAGTTTCTGAGATGGATGACCTGTGTGATGAGTTTCTGAGATGGGTGACCTGTGTGGTGAGTTTCTGAGATGGGTGACCTGTGTGGTGTGTTTCTGAGATGGGTGACCTGTGTGATGAGTTTCTGAGATGGGTGACCTGTGTGGTGAGTTTCTGAGATGGATGACCTGTGTGATGAGTTTCTGAGATGGATGACCTGTGTGATGAGTTTCTGAGATGGATGGCCTGTGTGGTGAGTTTCTGAGATGGATGACCTGTGTGATGAGTTTCTGAGATGGATGACCTGTGTGGTGTGTTTCTGAGATGGATGACCTGTGTGGTGTGTTTCTGAGACGGATGGCCTGTGCGGTGTGTTTCTGAGATGGATGACCTGTGTGGTGTGTTTCTTAGATGGATGACCTGTGTGGTGTGTTTCTGAGATGGATGACCTGTGTGGTGAGTTTCTGAGATGGGTTGCAGGTGTGGTGTGTTTCTGAGATGGATGACCTGTGTGGTGTGTTTCTGAGATGGGTGACCTGTGTGGTGTGTTTCTGAGATGGATGGCCTGTGTGGTGTGTTTCTGAGATGGATGACCTGTGTGGTGTGTTTCTGAGATGGATGGCCCAGCGGTGTGTTTCTGAGATGGATGACCTGTGTGGTGTGTTTCTGAGATGGATGGCCTGTGTGGTGTGTTTCTGAGATGGATGGCCTGTGTGGTGTGTTTCTGAGATGGATGACCTGTGTGGTGTGTTTCTGAGATGGATGGCCTGTGTGGTGTGTTTCTTAGATGGATGGCCTGTGGGGTGCGTTTCTGAGATGGATGGCCTGTGTGGTGTGTTGTGACCTGGTGTGTTTCTGAGATGGGTGACCTGTGTGGTGTGTTTCTGAGATGGATGGCCTGTGTGGTGTGTTTCTGAGATGGATGACCTGTGTGGTGTGTTTTTCTGAGATGGATGACCTGTGTGTGTGTTTCTGAGAATGATGACCTGTGTGGTGTGTTTCTGAGATGGGTGACCTGTGTGGTGTGTTTCTGAGATGGATGGCCTGTGTGGGGTGTTTCTGAGATGGTGACCTGTGTGGTGAGTTTCTGAGATGGATGACCTGTGTGGTGTGTTTCTGAGATGGGTGACCTGTGTGGTGTGTTTCTGAGATGGATGACCTGTGTGGTGTGTTTCTGAGATGGATGGCCTGTGTGGTGTGTTTCTGAGATGGATGACCTGTGTGGTGTGTTTCTGAGATGGATGACCCATGTGGTGTGTTTCTGAGATGGATGACCTGTGTGGTGTGTTTCTGAGATGGGTGACCTGTGTGGTGTGTTTCTGAGATGGATGGCCTGTGTGGTGTGTTTCTGAGATGGATGACCTGTGTGGTGTGTTTCTGAGATGGATGGCCTGTGTGGTGTGTTTCTGAGATGATGGATGGCCTGTGTGGTGTGGTTCTGAGAATGATGACCTGTGTGGTGTGTTTCTGAGATGGATGACCTGTGTGGTGAGTTTCTGAGATGGATGACCTGTGTGGTGTGTTTCTGAGATGGATGACCTGTGTGGTGTGTTTCTGAGATGGATGACCTGTGTGGTGTGTTTCTGAGATGGGTGACCTGTGTGGTGTGTTTCTGAGATGGATGACCTGTGTGGTGTGTTTCTGAGATGGATGACCTGTGTGGTGTGTTTCTGAGATGGATGACCTGTGTGGTGTGTTTCTGAGATGGATGACCTGTGTGGTGTGTTTCTGAGATGGGTTGCCTGTGTGGTGTGTTTCTGAGATGGGTGACCTGTGTGGTGTGTTTCTGAGATGGGTGACCTGTGTGGTGTGTTTCTGAGATGGATGACCTGTGTGGTGTGTTTCTGAGATGGATGACCTGTGTGGTGTGTTTCTGAGATGGGTGGCCTGTGTGTGGTGTGTTTCTGAGATGGATGACCTGTGTGTGTGTGTTTCTGAGGATGGATGACCTGTGTGGTGTGTTTCTGTGTGGTGTGGAGATGGATGACCTGTGTGGTGTGTTTCTGAGATGGATGACCTGTGTGATGTGTTTCTGAGATGGATGACCTGTGTGGTGTGTTTCTGAGATGGATGACCTGTGTGGTGTGTTTCTGAGATGGATGACCTGTGTGGTGTGTTTCTGAGATGGATGACCTGTGTGGTGTGTTTCTGAGATGGATGACCTGTGTGGTGTGTTTCTGTGAGATGGATGGCCTGTGTGGTGTGTTTCTGAGATGGATGGCCTGTGTGGTGTGTTTCTGAGAATGGATGACCTGTGTGGTGTGTTTCTGAGATGGATGACCTGAGTGGTGACCTGTTGGTGTGTTTCTGAGATGGATGACCTGTGTGGTGTGTTTCTGAGATGGATGACCTGTGTGGTGTTTCTGAGATGGGTGACCTGTGTGGTGTGTTTCTGAGATGGATGACCTGTGTGGTGTGTTTCTGAGATGGATGACCTGTGTGGTGTGTTTCTGAGATGGATGACCTGTGTGGTGTGTTTCTGAGATGGATGACCTGTGTGGTGTGTTTCTGAGATGGGTGACCTGTGTGGTGTGTTTCTGAGATGGGTTGCCTGTGTGGTGTGTTTCTGAGGTGGGTGACCTGTGTGGTGTGTTTCTGAGATGGATGACCTGTGTGGTGTGTTTCTGAGATGGATGACCTGTGTGGTGTGTTTCTGAGATGGATGACCTGTGTGGTGTGTTTCTGAGATGGGTTGCCTGTGTGGTGTGTTTCTGAGATGGATGACCTGTGTGGTGTGTTTCTGAGGTGGGTGACCTGTGTGGTGTGTTTCTGAGGTGGGTGACCTGTGTGGTGAGTTTCTGAGATGGATGACCTGTGTGATGTGTTTCTGAGATGGATGACCTGTGTGGTGAGTTTCTGAGATGGATGACCTGTGTGGTGAGTTTCTGAGATGGATGACCTGTGGATGTGTGTTTCTGAGATGGGTGACCTGTGTGGTGTGTTTCTGAGATGGGTGACCTGTGTGGTGTGTTTCTGAGATGGGTGACCTGTGTGGTGTGTTTCTGAGGTGGGTGACCTGTGTGGTGTGTTTCTGAGATGGATGACCTGTGTGATGAGTTTCTGAGATGGATGACCTGTGTGGTGTGTTTCTGAGATGGGTGACCTGTGTGGTGTGTTTCTGAGGTGGGTGACCTGTGTGGCGTGTATCTGAGGTGGGTGACCTGTTTGGTGTGTTTCTGTGATGGGTTGCCTGTGTGGTGTGTTTCTGAGATGGGTTGCCTGTGTGGTGTGTTTCTGAGATGGATGACCTGTGTGGTGTGTTTCTGAGATGGATGACCTGTGTGGTGTGTTTCTGAAGTGGGTGACCGGTGTGGTGAGTTTCTGAGATGGATGACCTGTGTGGTGTGTTTCTGAGATGGATGGCCTGTGTGGGGTGTTTCTGAGATGGGTGACCTGTTTGATGAATTTCTGAGATGGGTGACCCATGTGGTGTGTTTTTGAAATGTGTAACCTGTTACTATTTGTATCTTGATGTTGTCTCTCTGAGTCAGTCTTAGTGGTCATAGGTGTTCATTCTCTTCTTCAAATCTACCACACTTACAGGGGGGATGCTGGTCGTAAACGGTGTTTCTCTGAGCGGCTACGACACTCCGCCAGGTATGTGTGGTCAAATGGTCTGTCTGTCAGTGTGGGCATGTCCGCATGGATGTACTCCTGCCTCAGTCTCCTACTCTTGCTTGATTCTCAGTATCAGCACATTACCAAAACAGAGCCTCAGGTGGAAATCGTAGTACACAACAATATCCTCGCACCAGATTAAGGAGATTCAAATGTACGATGTTCTGTGTTGTATCGTTGTAGACTAGAGAACCCTCAGGTTGGGTGGGGCTATACTGGTGTATGTTTGTGTAGGCCCACACTATGGTGATTTAGCTGCTATGTGTTGTTGAGTTGTCCTGAGTTAGTGTAGATGTGATGTGTCAGGTCCACGTAGGTGTATGACTGTATGACTATCATGTAGCGGTTGTGGTGTAGTGCCTGCCAACTGCAGTGTTGTGACCCCTGTGTGATCACATTATAGGATGTTGCACAACTAATTTGCTGGGTTGTTCAAGTCAGTGAGCTTTTGCCTCTATGTGTATTTCCTGTCATTCACATGTCTACTGCATATAATGTTGACCTGAAACCATGAAGTTAAGAACTGCTAATTCAAAATGGACAGGTGGAGTGGTGTTGCTGGGCTTGTGTGTCATGAGATCGGTATTTTGACTTGTTCACCTTTTAACAACCCCACACAACCCCTTTAATTAACACTTTTCTTAGACTAGCCCAAATGCAAGTAACATTTTTTTTCACATCCCATCTCCCCCTATAAATAATGACCAGTCACTAACACAGATATATTAACAATACATTCACATATTAAGGTTGATACATCATTTAATGACGTCATCAGGTGGGATGGGTTATGACCAAATATGTAGACCAGTGAGGCAGAGGCAACTTGCTTGTATCATTTCTCTGTTTACATGTATTTTTTTTTTATTAATCTATTGAAACTAACATTATCTTCCTTTCAGCTGGAAATGTTCCTTGTTTGCATGTGTTTGTTTGAGTGTCCCTGTTTTCATCCTCCTAATTTGTTAAGACTAATGACCTGCTGGTTGACCTCTCCTGCATCTGGCAGAGAGCAAGCTTCATGTGTTTGTAGGCACAGTTGTGTAACATATATAGCATGTTTTTGTTTACTTTTGTTGCAGATCACTGTCCCCGTCCCCCACACGTAGCCGTTCTCCCAGGTATCACTCCACAGCATCGTAATGTGCGATGCCCCCTCCTCCTTTCACTGGGCACAAGCTCAGCTTGCAGGATGTGCCTCACAGATCACTTCAGGAAAATGTTCAGTCATTCAAACATTATAAGTGAAAGCACAGACAATAATTTTATCAAACAAAAGTTGTCACTTATTGTAAGAGATGATATTTTTGGATTTGTTGTTTTGCCTGCCTGTGATCTGAGGGGCCACCTGTGATCTGTGGCCAGTCAACAAGCACCTAGTGTATAGTCTGTTTTAGTTTGGTGATGGCCATATATTTAGTGCTAGAATCCTCTCTTTGTGTCTCTCATCTGACTCTTGAAGGACTTCTTTCCCTCACACTGCACAGTGGGGCTAGCTCACTGCATCTCTGTCTGACATGCCACTGTGTAGTACAAGCAGAGTACATGGCAAGCCTCCACTTCACGAAGTAACTGTAGAAATGGGATCTATGCAGTGTTTAGAACATCGTTGTAGTGATACTATTTTTTGAAGGAAATATTCAAGTTTTTGCATGAAGCAAAACATTATTCCAAATGAGTATCGAGTAACCATATTAAGAGTATGGATCAGTGTCAAAACCATTTGTTGGTAGAATCCCTGTTTGCAAGCAGCATGATGAACATTACTTTGGGTGGCCATAAGGACAAAGAATACAACAGTTAAAATAAAGATTGATAGTACTCCGTAATATAGACATGTTTAAAATAAAGTATTAAATGTTACCAACAAAGGTCAAAATTACATGCCATCCAGTACGGACAATTTAGTTGGGTTTTTCTCTCTCACAGCGTGTAGTAAACATTGCTGCTGAGCTATTGGTTAAAAAACAACTATAAAAATAGATGTCATCTTGTGCTCTCTGTAAATCAGCTATTTTGGTTTTTGTAAATGTTCATCTGATGGTGTATTACATGGATTTGGTGAATACTTGAGTCCTAGCAGGTCTCGTGCTTTGAGCTTGAAGAGTAGTGTTTACGCTGCTAGTTCCATCTGCTTGATGTACATCACATTTCTTCTTTATCATTTGTCCAACTTGTGGGTCAGAAATTGATTTTTCTTGCTCCCAACATTAAACTGTTATAAAACTATGTTGATTTTGACCGAGCAAATCAATATTATTTTTTATATTTGTTTGTACAAATGATGTTATTTTCCTGGCCACGGTTCTCAGGTCAGTGGCCAGTAGTGATGTGGCCAGTGTGTATCTCCTGGCCAAGGTTCCCAGTCTAGTATAGTGGTGATGTGGCCAGTGTGTATCTCCTGACCGAGGTTCCCAGTCTAGTATAGTGGTGATGTGGCCAGTGTGTATCTCCTGGCCGGGGTTCCCAGTCTAGTATAGTGGTGATGTGGCCAGTGTGTATCTCCTGACCGGGGTTCCCAGTCTAGTATAGTGGTGATGTGTGATGTATCTCCTGCCGGTGTTCCCAGTCTAGTATCTGGCCAGTGTGTCTCCCTGGGCCGGGTTCCCAGTCTAGTATAGTGGTGATGTGGCCAGTGTGTATCTCCTGTGTATCTCCTGAGGGTTCCCAGTCTAGTATAGTGGTGATGTGGCCAGTGTGTATCTCCCTGTCCGGGGTTCCCAGTCTAGTATAGTGGTGATGTGGCCAGTGTGTATCTCCTGGCCGGGGTTCCCAGTCTAGTATAGTGGTGATGTGGCCAGTGTGTATCTCCTGACCGGGGTTCCCAGTCTAGTATAGTGGTGGTGATGTGGCCAGTGTGTATCTCCTGGCCTAGGTTCCCAGTCTAGTATAGTGGTGATGTGGCCAGTGTGTATCTGCTGACCGGGGTTCCCATTCTAGTATAGTGGTGATGTGGCCAGTGTGTATCTCCTGGCCGGGTTCCCAGTCTAGTATAGTGGTGATGTGGCCAGTGTGTATCTCCTGACCGAGGTTCCCTAGTCTAGTATATGTGGCCAGTGTGTATCTCCTGGACCGAGGTTCCCAGTCTCCTGGTGATGGCCAGTGTGTATCTCCTGGCCGCAGGTTCCAGTCTAGTATAGTGGGTGATGGCCAGTGTGTGTGTATCTCCTGGCCGAGGTTCCCAGTCTAGTATAGTGGTGATGTGGCCAGTGTGTATCTCCTGGCCGGGGTTCCCCAGTCTAGTATAGTGGTGATGTGGCCAGTGTGTATCTCCTGGCCGAGGTTCCCAGTCTAGTATAGTGGTGATGTGGCCAGTGTGTATCTCCCCTGGCCGAGGTTCCCAGTCTAGTATAGTGGTGATGTGGCCAGTGTGTATCTCCTGGGGTTCCAGTCTAGTATAGTGGTGATGTGGCCAGTCTCCTGGCCCGAGGTTCCCAGTCTAGTATAGTGGTGATGTGGCCAGTGTGTATCTCCTGACCGAGGTTCCCAGTCTAGTATAGTGGTGATGTGGCCAGTGTGTATCTCCCAGTCTAGTATAGTGGTGATGTGGCCAGTGTGTTCCCAGTCTAGTATAGTGGTGATGTGGCCAGTGTGTATCTCCTGACCGAGGTTCCCAGTCTAGTATAGTGGTGATGTGGCCAGTGTGTATCTCCTGGCCGAGGTTCCCAGTCTAGTATAGTGGTGATGTGGCCAGTGTGTATCTCCTGGTCTAGTAGGGTTCCCAGTCTAGTATATAGTGGTGATGTGGCCAGTGTGTATCTCCTGACCGAGGTTCCCAGTCTAGTATAGTGGTGATGTGGCCAGTGTGTATCTCCTGGTGATGTGGGGTTCCCTAGTCTAGTATAGTGGTGATGTGGCCAGTGTGTATCTCCCGGGCCCAGTCTAGGTTGTGGCCAGTCTAGTATAGTGGTGATGTGGCTAGTAGTGTGTGATCTCCTGTATCTCCGAGGTTCCCAGTCTAGTATAGTGGTGATGTGGCCAGTGTATATCTCCTGACCCAGGTTCCCAGTCTAGTATAGTGGTGATGTGGCCAGTGTGTATCTCCTGGCCTCCCAGTCTAGTATAGAGTGGTGATGTGGCCAGTGTGTATCTCCTGTATAGGTTCCCAGTCTAGTATAGTGGCCAGTGTGTATCTCCTGGCCGAGGTTCCCAGTCTAGTATAGTGGTGATGTGGCCAGTGTGTATCTCCTGTCCGAGGTTCCCAGTCTAGTATAGTGGTGATGTGGCCAGTGTGTATCTCCTGACCGAGGTTCCCAGTCTAGTATAGTGGTGATGTGGCCAGTGTGTATCTCCTGTCCAGGTTCCCAGTCTAGTATAGTGGTGATGTGGCCAGTGTGTATCTCCTGGCTGAGGTTCCCAGTCTAGGTTGTGGCCAGTCTAGTATAGTGGTCTAGATGTGTGCCAGTGTGTATCTCCTGGCCGAGGTTCCCAGTCTAGTATAGTGGTGATGTGGCCAGTGTGTATCTCCTGTGCTCGAGGTTCCCAGTCTAGTATAGTGGTGATGTGGCCAGTGTGTATCTCTGACCGAGGTTCCCAGTCTAGTATAGTGGTGATGTGGCCAGTGTGTATCTCCTGGGCCGGGGTTCCCAGTCTAGTATAGTGGTGATGTGGCCAGTGATGTGGCCAGTGTGTATCTCCTGTGCCGAGGTTCCCAGTCTAGTATAGTGGTGATGTGGCCAGTGTGTATCTCCTGACCCCAGTCTAGTATAGTGTGGCGATGTGGCCAGTGTGTATCTCCTGGCCGCAGGTTCCCAGTTCCCAGTCTAGTATAGTGGTGATGTGGCCAGTGTGTATCTCCTGGCCGAGGTTCCCAGTCTAGTATAGTGGTGATGTGGCCAGTGTGTATCTCCTGGCCGGGTTCAGAGGCTAGTATAGTGGTGGTGTTTCAGCACGGACTCCATCTTGTCCCCCACCAGCACTGTGATGCTGTGTCACCGGACATCGACGCGGACCACTGCTCACAGGACAGTTCAGCCTCCAGGGAAGGGGGCTTCTTCTTGCTGAGGGAAGGACTGAGCCGGCGCCCCACACTTGTACAAATACTCATTCAAGATACTGAGGAGGTAATCATAGCAAGTACATTCGGTGGTCCCTAACTGTTAGCTGAAAAAACCCGTGTACAGGCCAACTTTCCCCATGGACAAACCTTCCCTTAGAAAAAACTTTGTCCTAGGGCCAAATTTCCCACCCCCTTCAATCAACTTTAAAGGTTACTTCTTTCCCACCCTTGTTCTTGTATCACAAGCTGGAGATTCTTGGCCTAGCTAGGCTATTTCTTCCCAAACCTTGTTTCATGTTTATGTTCGTCTTGAAAAGTCAGAAACGAAAAACAAGACAATGCTTTCAATCATGTGAACACATTACTGGACAAGATATTCATCTTGATGTCAAGTTCCATTAACAATTTACAGGTCATCTTCATCTTCATATATATAACATGTACGTGGTTCACATTTTGTTTCAATATCCTTATATATAGGTGAGATTAAAAGAAAAGTAAAAGCATAAAAGCAAAGATATTATATCATTGCTTTTGTTTTATATTATCATTTACTTATTTTATGTTTCAATAATTTACTTATCCCCACTTACCGGTACTCCAAATTGGCTTTATCTCAAAATCATTACTATATTCTAAACTTTAACTAAATACCCAGTTTATACTTGGATGTCCATATCAATTCAAAATTTTATTCTCCTCACTCATGGCTTTTAAATATGGCATCCACATCGGCGACATCATCAACTTAACAGTTGGAAGCAGACGAAACATCAACACAACAACAACAACCCAACACAATATCTATATCAAATGCTGTATCATCTATCATTCCACTATATTGCCTTATTCTATATTCAAAAGAAAAGGTTTGATAAGGGGTATACTTGGCCCATGGATATCTGAATCATATTTCATTCACCAAAGGTGATTATGGATTACAAACAAGCTTGTGAATAATGTTCCAGTACATTTATACATAAATACAACAAATATTAGATAATAAAACAGCATGTTAAGAGAGCAAGCAACTTGTGTATATTATGCCTTATTTACCCATCAAATGTGCGATTGAATGTTTACATCTTATGGTGACATGATTTGGACAGATGAAGAACTAATGCAATGTGTGTTCATAGGAATGCATGCGCAAGAGAGGGATGGATTTAGAGATATATGCCACTCAAAACATGTATGCATTCCAATCACTACACCCAAGTCAGAGGCAAAATGGACTATTTGGCAAAATGTGTACCAAAATAAAATTCAAAACCACTGCTCTGGTTTATAAGAGCAAGGGTGGGGAGAAGCAGCCTAGCTAGGCCAAAATCTCCCCCTTTGATATAAGAGCAAGGGTGGGGAAGAAGTAGCCTTAGCTTGGCCAGA